CAATACTGAACTCGCTGTCAGTGACAGTGATTTCCTGCCTGTCAATGACAACGAGTTTAGTGCTACCTGCTATGTGTCTTTATTTCAAAAAAACGGACCGACTGATTTAACTACCAAAGTTGCTATTACTAACAACGAGTTTGGTGGCATCAGAAAATACGTCACGTGACAAAAAAAAATAGTTGTTGTGGGTTTAAGGGTATGACCAGAGGCGAAGGGAGGGTGGCTAGGGGTTGGCAAACCCCCCCTCCCCCAAGAATTTGATGGTTTTTTTTTTTTAAACGTTATGGTGGAGACTAGAACATTGAAGGCTTCTTCTCAAAGCATTGATTCTAGTAAATATATATTATGATAAGGGCTATATATGTATAGTCCGTAGATACTAATGATTATGCTTTACTTTACGTTTGAGTTTTAAGCTTTTTGTATTTTGTATAATAGTTTTCAACTATCCCTTCTTTGCTGGTTGCTTCGTACTTAGCAACATTAATTCTATCATGACAATATGCTTATGTATTTCATCTTGTAATAAAATAAATCACATAATTATTGTATATCTTGTCAAGGTTGTTTTACTCTTTTTTTTTTACTATTCTTGTTGTCAATTTTTTCTTTTGTCTTAGCCGTGCTACTTAACAAGAGTATATACTACTAGAATTTATATTTCTTATTAAAAAAAAAACATCATTTAGATCATTTTTTTTGGATTCAAATGGAAATTAAACATATAATCTAACCTGCCAAAATCCCTCACTAGATCAATTCTATTGGCTACTCTAGATTTGGTGTTTTATTCAATAAACTTTGCATTTCTTGGATGAGAATTTGAGTAAACAAAATCTAGATTTGATGATATTAAATTTCTAAATATTTATTACATGTTGATATAAAAGAAAAATTCGTCCCCTCCTCCCCCAAATTAACAATCTTGGCTCCGCCTCCGAATATGACACTTTGGCAAAAAAAATTTAACATTGTGATATTTCGATATTTTTTTGAGGATCCGTAACAGTACAGTCAAAGTCGCATATTTATGTCCTGTCCATTTTACTGAAAACTAAACAAATCATGGGTGAATACAACATTTTTTGTCATTGGTTGTACCAAATAAAAATAAATTATTATCCAACCATCAGACAGAGCGCTTTCATGTGAGAAACAAAAAATTAACATAAATATAGGGTCAGGATAATTGAATAGTCTAGTCCCACATGAATTTCCGAAAAGTTTCGTACTATATAATATATATATATATATATATATATATATATATATATATATATATATACACTCTGATTGATGTTGACGAAAGCAAAAGCCTCTTATTAATATAGCTACTTTGATACCTGCGTTGCACTATTGACTTTCACATTATTGGATGCAGATTCCAAACTTTCGATGAAAGGAATTCTAGCTAGAAGGTAGAAACTTGCGTTCTTCATCAGTGGCGTTGCCGCGTTGGGCTGTGGCTGGGTGTTGATATCCCTTTTCCTTTTTGGTGGTACAGGTATATATATGACGCATATATTCCATCTTTATCTGAATTGTGACCCTTTGTTTTATGGGTTCCCTTTTTGTCATTTGACATGACAAAAGCACTTTCCTACACACACAAATCAAGTGTGGGTCCCACGCTTAAAAAAAAAAGTCAAACCAAAATCAGGATACGACGTCGTATCCTTAAGATACGACGCCGTATCCTTGTTGCAGGAATGAACAGTACTATTCCTGCAACATGATCCTTATATTTCCCTTGTTTTATATATAGAAAGATTATGCACTGTTTTCTCGCCGATTCTCTGCTCCATCGTTTAGTGGCCAAGGCAATTATCTTTATTTTTCGATTACACAGTTATTGCTTTGTGTTATTATAAAACTGGTTATTTCATTAAATATTAAATAGACCATTAAAATTTTAATATGATAATGAATAAAGGTAAAAAGATGTGTGATTTTAAAAATCACACCTTATATCATTCCACTCTTATAAAGAGGTGAGACCCGCATTTTTAATTATTATTTTTCACTCAGTCTCTCTTCTATAATTTATCTCTTTTTTTTTTATTTAAAATGACATAACTTTGTGTCCTTCAAAATGATACAGACTCTGAGCAGTCACCAAGATCCTTAGCACTTTATGATAATAAAGAGGTTATTCTCAGTTTACCAAGAGAGATTATTCCCGTTCAAATGAATGATTATTTTGGAAAATAAAAAAAATTAAACAGGTTTAATTTTTTTAAATCTTTCTTTTATCCATATATATTTTGTGAGGAAGGTTGTACTTAAAATCTCTTTTTTCTCTAAACTCTTATAATTATTTTTATTAATTATTTTTGTTATTATTAGACCAAAATCAAATAATAGTGATAAAATGACATCAACTAGGAACCGTTGACTTGATTTTGTGTGATTGTAAAAGATTATGAGGAAAAAAATTCTAATTATGACCTACCTCATATTTTATTTATTAAATATAATAAAATATTTTTCATTAAAGTTTGCTGAAGTGATAATAAACACTAAATTTGATCATAAATTACAATTCACACTATTTGTTGCTTTGAACTATAATTGCTAATTTATTACCTTTGAGTATTTTTTTTTTTTTGGTAATCACCTTTGAGTATTTAATTTAAAGGAAGATAATCTCACTTAATATTAATTATTAATAACTCTATAATACATAAAGTGATATGATTTAATAAATGTAATGAAGATACGTATAATCTATAATTATATTTACTTTACTGCATTAAATAATGATTTATTGAGTATGTTTATAATGTAAAAGAAAAAAAAAGTTTATGCTTCCATTTTTATTTTATTTTAAATTTATTTACTGATTTATTTATCGATTAATCAACTAATTCGGTTGAGCCGAATAGGACCATAAGTGGAATAAAACTCTTTAATACCAAAATTTTAATACAATTGCATATCATTAATTTATTTTCTTTATAAACGTTCAAGTGAGACTATACTACCAAGTGATGACAACTTCTTAATTGAGTAATTGAGAGAATTCCGTTGATGGAACACACCTACGACACATAATAACAAATTTCTCCTTATGAGATTAGGGCTTTGAGACATCCACAACTTTATATAAATACTTGCTAAACATAACTAAAATGTGTTTAGTTTAAGGCTTTAATGTTTCTAAAGTGAATATAGATAAGTTATCTACATTCATTGCTAAAACGACGTCGTTTTGAGTTGAAAAATTAAAAAATTATAATGAAAAAGACTATTAAAACTCTGAAATAACTTATAATTACAATAATATCTTGATTTCCGCCTCAAAACGATGTCGTTTTGGGCTCAATGTAGATAAGTTATCTACATTGACTATAGAAAAAGCGAACTCTAGTTTAAATATACGAATATGTACCATGTATTTGAATTTAAATATACTCTTTGCGTGTAAAACCAATCAATTTAATTAAGATGAAAAAATTAAGAAATAAATAAATAAATAATAAAGTAGTTGGATTGGATAACTTTTTATCCAATTTTAAAAATCAATCTAAATCAAATCAAACAGAAAATTTATATATATATATATATATATATATATATATATATATATATATTTGAATAATATTTCACTTTAAAAAATATTATTAATAATTATCATGCGATTTTTCCCTTAGAAATAAGTATCTTCCGCCTTAAATCTCAGCGTCCAAAAGCATTAGGCTATTTATTTATATTTTATAAAAGGGTGCATATTTTCTTATGTTGTAGGATAGTAGGAGAGAAAAAAAGTAGAGATAAGTTAAATGTGAGTCCCACATTTTAAATTAAAAAAGAAAAGAAAAATTAATTGGCACGGAAAACGAATTTGTGTAGGAAAAAATTCTTATCTCATGTAGATGGAGATAATAATTTCCCTTTATAAAATCATAGATCTAGTCTATACTTTATAATGTGGTAACTAGGAGTGTCAATAGGGATTACCTCAACTCATTCGGGCTAGCAAGTCAAGTATATAATTCTTATTAGTAAATTGTTGACTCAATTCAATTCCGTCTACGTCATGGGCTAATTGTAATAATCCGTGGTTAGCATTTTTTTATTTATGTATATAATTATAATTTAAAGATTAATTTAAATAATTATTTTATTAACTTGTTTTAAAACTTAAATTAATTTACGCTAAAAGATCTAAAATTAATTATTATATTCAAATAGATAAGTATTTGTTTTAAAACAACATTTACCTAAATTTAAAAAGGAATTTAAATAATTATAATAATCAAATACCAAAATTCAAATGTTAGTTTTACATTAATAAATAATACTTATAGTAAGTAATCAATAATATTGAAATTATTAGTTACAAATGGGTGTAAAGCAGTTAATAAACTAATAACCTGTTATCAAAGCCCTAGTAACCTATTATTAAAATATGGTAACTTTGTACCCAAGGAGTGCAGCTTTCAGTTGGTTCAGTAACGCTGAGTTAATGGAGTTGGATATGTGTTCGATTCTCGCTGAATGCATTCTTGAGGAGGAGGCTGAACCTTAGCCATGACTGTTCTTCTACACTCCGGATTAATTTCATAGCTGACTCGAAGAGTCAAAGTCGTGGAAAAATTGGAGGGAACCAACTTGTCTCAAAAAGATAATTATGATTCGTTACCAAAAAATAAATAATAATATGGTAACTTGCTAATTATTATATTTGAGATGAATCATATTAATAATTAGATAAAAAATATTCTTTATAGAAAGATGAGCGGGAACACTTCTCTTTTTCCAGGCCTAGGATGCTCCATGCCAGTCATCTGTACTTACGGAAGTTGCTACATTAATAATCTATGACTATAGTATACTTTACTTGATTCTCTAACACCGACAAATTTAAAACTAGAAAATAAAGTAAATAAATTAAGCGAAGGAAGTTTCCAGGGGAGGAGGTATGTATATGCGTATACTTGCATTGCAGGAATTAAATAGAGAGTCGAAGGTTTCAAACAAAATAAAAATAAAAATAAAAAATAAATAAGAGAGTCGCAGAACAAACATGTGAACTGAGCACTCTGCATTCTCCCAAAGCTATCTATTTACATAACTTCTTCCTTGTTGTTGACCTGCTGCTATCTGTTATCTGCGCGCGGTATAGTATATATAGTTACCTTTCATTTTATGTAATGTATATACTTATAAGGACAAATAGTTCAACCAAGCATCTTTTTGTAATGGTAATAATCTCTCTTCATCAATCTTTTAGTACTTTTATCTGTCTTTTAATCTCAACAGGGATTGTGTTGTGGTGGTGGGAGTTTTTAATACAACTATACAATAAAGGAACGGGATGTTCTTACAATAACGTGTGTTATGATTTACTATGAAGTAGTAGTGAGGGATATATAGAGTTAGTGACGGTGCCATCTTTCCTGCGACAGTTTCAGGAACTATGAGTTTCTCCAAGGGTTCTTCTCCTTGCGACCAGATGCAGCAGCTTGATATAGAGGCTGGGTCTCACACTGATTTTGATGACCGAGACGACTCTTCTGATCCATTTGATATTACCAGCACAGAGAATGCTCCGATTCAACGCCTCAAGCGTTGGAGGGTATGTGTCAAACTCTTCTGAGTTCTAACTCACTCACTCAGTCTCTTGTTATTGCTATTACTGTCATGTTCTTTTTTTTTTTTTTTCCAATAATAATATGATTGATATTTTTATTTTCTCTGTCTTACAATTTGTACTCAATATGTGGACATGTTGTTAATTTTACCATTCATAGAGCACTGCTTTCTATCATTTTAATGGTTTTGGAACCAAATTGAGGGCAAAAGAAGGGGGAATGGATTCTCTCAAGTGAGTTTTTCACTTGTCAAGGTCATAGGAAGGGAGACATTAACAAAAATAATCTAAACAGAGCTCCACTGATTGGATCTTGTCAATATTTGTACGGTTCTGTTTAGGGTTTTTGGTGCCTACGTTTTTCTTCATGTTAATAATTCACATGAGAGATCTATTCCCAAAAGAACAAAAGAGGCGAGTGAGGGTAGGGATTGGGGAAATATTGAATAGAATTTATGCTTTCATGGAATCACGTTTAAAAAGATAAGCAGGACCTGCTCAAATGGCTAAAAAGATATACAATCACAAAGTACTGATTGGTAATAGCAATGTAAATTTGAATTTTGTTTCATTTTGTTAATTGCCAAGAGACAAGAGGTATTCATTGTAATCCTTGTGTCAATTACACGAAGGAGACTTCTTTTATATATTAAACTAAATAACAAATACACACACATATACACAATGTGAGACTTCTATACTATGTACAACAACACTCCCCCTCAAGCTGGAGCATATAGATCGTATGCACCAAGCTTGTTACATATCTGGTCTATCCTAGGTCCTCTCAAAGACTTAGTAAATACATCAGCTAATTGATCATTTGAGTTGACAAAACGAGTGACTATATCTCCTGAGAGAACCTTTTCCCTAAGGAAATGACAATCTATCTCAATGTGCTTAGTCCTTTCATGAAACACTGGATTTGAAGCAATATGCAAAGCAGCTTGATTATCACAAATGAGAGATGTTGGGCCAGTGTCTCCAAAATTGAGTTCCTTCAGTAGTTGTTTTAACCAGATGAGTTCACAGGTAGCTGTGGCCATGGAGCGATATTCTGCTTCAGCACTTGATCTAGCAACTACACTTTGCTTCTTACTTCTCCAGGAAATCAAGTTATCTCCAACGAATACACAATACCCAGAAGTGGATCTTCTATCAATACGAGAACCTGCCCAATCAGCATCTGAGTATCCTACAACTCTGGTATGACCTTTATTTTCATAGAGAAGACCTATGCCAGGAGCAGTCTTGATGTACTTGAGGATACGGATTACTACATTCCAGTGATCTTCACAGGGAGAATTCAAGAACTGACTTACTACACTGACTGCAAAGGAAATGTCTGGTCGAGTAACTGTGAGATAGTTCAGTTTCCCAACCAATCTTCTATACCTTTCTGGATCAGAAAATAGCTCCCCCTGATTTGGTAAAAGCTTGACATTTGGATCCATAGGAGTATCGACGGGCTTAGCATTCAACAATGCTGTTTCCTCAAGAATATCCATAGCATATTTTCTCTGTGATAGTATAATGCCATATTTGGATTGGGCCACTTCTATCCCTAAGAAATATCGGAGTCTTCCAAGGTCCTTTGTTTGAAAATGATGGCACAAATGTTGTTTTATCTGAGTTATGCCATGAGTATCATTACCTGTAATGACGATATCATCAACATATACTACCAAATAAATAAAACCTGAATCAGAGTGTCTGTAAAAGACTGAGTGATCAGCCTCACTCCGAGTCATGCCAAACTGCTGTACAACAGTGCTAAACCTTCCAAACCAAGCCCGGGGAGACTGCTTGAGACCATACAAGGATTTTCGGAGACGACAAACTAGGTTAGACTCCCCCTGAGCAACAAACCCAGGAGGTTGCTCCATATAAACCTCTTCCCGCAGATCACCATGGAAGAAAGCATTCTTTATGTCCAGCTGATACATAGGCCAGTGATGAATGGCTGCATAGTAATAAAGAGGCGAACAGAAGTCATTTTCGCCACGGGAGAAAATGTGTCACCATAGTCAAGGCCAAATATCTGAGTATAACCTTTAGAGCCTAACAAGAGGAATCCTAATCCGCGTTTTTTTCCGGTGGACCACTATCCGCTGAGTAAATTTTTTTTTTTTTTTCGGAAATAATCATATCTGTCAGTTTCCGGCGTCCATACATCGTCAAAGGACCGCTCTGGTACCATGTTAATTACCAAGAGACAAGAGGTATTCATTGTAATCCTTGTGTCAATTACACGAAGGAAACTTCTATTATATATTAAACTAAATAACAAATACACACATATACACAATGTGAGACTTCTATACTATGTACAGCAACACATTTAAAGGTCTATGCGGAAGAAGTGGAACTTTCTTCCCTGTTAATACAAGCTGTTAGCATTCATGCAGCTATCTATATCCATTGACACTCAAATATGAACTTACATCAGTTGAATGTTAATACTCATTTGTTGTCAAACCTAAGTTATTCTTTCTGCAGTCATATAGGACAAGTTTATAGTATATGTCTCTCGTGAGTTCTCCATTGATTTAGAGGTCCAAAATTGCGGTTTTAGGATAACAGATTATACAAGGTTCTTTTCTTTCTGTTTTCTGTTTGTTTAAATTCTAAAATCAACAAAACGAGGGAACAAGAACATATCTGCACAAAGCATGAAGATGACGAGGATGGATAAAAATATACAATACTTTAAGAAAGATAAGAAGATGGTTGAAGTTTTGTCGCCCAAGATTCAGCATTTTTAACAAAATAATCTGGAGTAGATTGGAGAATTTAAGAGAATGCGGTAGAAATTCCAATTGACACAATTTTTGGGATCTTCAGCACTATTTTGAACATCTTGTGAATCTTTTCCAACACACTTTATGCAAAGGATTGGAATCTTGGTTTGCTTACTGCCATTGCTTTGCCACAATTGGATCAGCCAATCATTTCGAGTGAAGATTGTGTTGCATCCAATATTCCTGTAATTATTTTTAAAGAATGTGGTTGAAGATGAACTGAACGCAATGTTAACTGGATAGTAAAAAGAGTGCATCAATTAGGAAGCTACAGTGAGAGCAAACCATAAGTTTCTTGTACAGGTGGTCATCGAGGGATATGTGCTGGTCCTCTTACAGTGACACTCAGTTTCTGAAAAAATTTGGTTTAATGTACTTTGAACTGATGTGCATTCCATTTTTTTCTTTAGTGTACACTGTGGGTTAAACAAGTCTTGAGTTTAGGGATTTGGGATTCAGTTATGGTAAATAAATTTGGATTCGAAAAGACCATTGGATTGTTGGGTTTCATTCTATGTGCCTGCTGAAAAATATGGATGGAAAGATCTCGTTTTTAATGGGACAAAACTGAGGAAAGATTTAATTTAATATTTTAATGTTAAGAAGATTGATGCCATTAATGGTTGCAAATAAAGCAAGAATGGAGTCGGGGACTAGGATTTTATAGCTCTGAACAGTGATGTGAGAACTAGCTGAGAAGTCAAAAAGAAGAAAGCAAGAAACTTTGCTCTCAACTCAATTCTCACCTTGTCAACTTTTTTTACTTAATTTTGTAATGAGATACTTCTGAAGTTTAAAATTTTCCTATATTTTTGGAATCAAAGAAATCATTCAATTACTGGTTTTATATATTACTGGAAAATTTTAAAACTCTCACCTGGCAAGAAGTTCAAGTACAAGTTGTGACAAGAAACTAACTACAGTACCAGGAGTTTCTTCCAAATAGACGCTTAATGATTGAATTTTTCATGTTGTTTAAAGAATCAATATAAAATTCTATCTACGAGCTTGGCTTTTCTGAAGTTGCAAGTATGCCTCTGCAAATATAAATTTCAGTTTCCAAAACTGGCTGAAGACAAGATATAGAGCAATTTCTTGATCATGCACCATGGATTTGAAGTCACCTTCATTTATTATTTCAGCACTATTAGTGTTGCTTGTAATAATTACTGTATTAACATCAATGGCTTGTTGTATTTGACTATTTTGATGCATTATGTATTTATTTTTTATATCCGGGAGACGCTGTTTTGTTCAATAACTAGACAAGAAATTCCTTTTGTGTTTTTAGCAAGCGGCACTTGTGCTTAATGCTTCTCGACGATTTCGTTACACCTTGGATTTGGAGAGAGAAGAAGAGAGGAAGCGAATATCGAGAATGGTTATAGTGCACTCACGGGCTATTCAAGTTTGGTTCCTTCAGTTGACTTTCTCTATTATTGCTCTTGTTTACGCATTTTTAAGTGTGCTAATTAATTAACTATTCTACTCAATTAGGCTGCATATCGTTTCAAGGAAGCTGGGAAGCAAGTGAACGGTGAGTCGTTGGATTGTTCTCACTACTATTTGTTTATAAATTGTAGCATACTAGTAACTCATGTTCTTTTATTTATGATTTACTCCTGTCTCCTGATTTGCAAGAACTGCCTTTTTTGTAACTAGATTTTAACACTCATTTTTCATTCTTCTTCTGCAATTTATAAAGTTCACTCTCTTAAATTATTGTTTTGTCCTTTATATCTTTTTGTTTAATTTGTTATTCTGCTTATGAGTTCAGTACTTTGGTCTGTTTGGCTATTCAGGCTGTTAGTTCTAGTAGTTGGTGAACAAGTTATTGTTTATTATTGTACTTTTGTAGCATGTTTGCACATAAACATTAAAGGGTCAATTTTTATTTTTATTTTTGGTAAACAAGGGTCAATTTTGTTAATGCTATGGTATTCATCTGATCAGCTGCATATTGGCCTGTAAAAAGTCTGGAATTATATTTTTTTTTTTACATCACTGATCTCTCTTTGATAAGCCATGTTAATGCCGTAATATTCATGAGTTGCTCCATATTGGTCTGGGAACCCCGTAGCTTAGAAGTCAAGTATTATTAATTTTTTGATAGTAACCAATTTTTCTTGAAATTTATTTCTAAGATTGGTGTCTGATCTGTTTAACGTGGCCCAATTATCATTTTTGCACTTCAATTGCCATTAAGATTTCAATTAAATTTTTGTGACATATTCATTCCCCTTTATATAGTTTGTTTCTACATATTTATATCTTAATTTTCGGCATAAATAATTTTTAAAAGAATTATTATTAATGAGATTTTAACGGTCTTGCCTAATGATTGAAAGTATTCTCATTATCATCAGCCTAGTCTTGGGGATTCTAGCGCTATCTTTTTATGACGATAAATGGTGTTTGTAATTCTGTGTTCTTCCTAAACTGCTTCCATTATTTAATAATTTTTAAAGGGACTTGACCCGGTATATTAAACGTGGAGACACTATTTGTCGGAGATAAAATGCAGCTATATTTATGAGATGAACTCTTATGATTTTTTGTTGGGGTGTACCCTTTATAATGACGCGTTGCATCGGGCCCGGCGTAGCGAAAAAATGGGCTAGGACCCTTGCCACAAGGTAAGGCACTGCATCGGGTCCCGAGTGTAGTGATAAATGAGATAGGGTCCTTGCCTTAAGGCAAGGCGCCAAGTCTTCACCCGAATTTGGTGAGAAGTATGTCAGGGTCCCAACACGCAGATGGACAGCGTGGCGGGCAAGTACAACTCAGGGATTAAGGATGCGATTGAGAAGTTGGAACATAGGAACCTTAACGGGTAAATTGAGGGAGTTAGCAAATGTTTTTGCTAGAAGAAAAGTGCATATTGTTTGCTTGCAGTAAACTAAGTGGGTTGGAGAAAAGGCCAAAGAAGTGGATGGAACTGGTTTCAAGTTATGGTACACAAGTATAAACGAGTTGAAATGGTTTTGGAATTATGATCAATAAAAAGTTTCAAAGATAAATTTGTTGACATCAAAAGGAAAGGCGACAGGATTATTCTGGTTAAACTTGTAATGGGTGATTTAATATTGAATACCCTCAGTGTGTATGCACCCCAAGTTGGATTGCAACCAAATGATAAAAGCCAATTTTGGGAAAACTTGGAAGAGGTTTTGAGGGGGGATACCACGAGAGCAGAAGATTTAACTTAGGAGGAGATCTAAATAGTCATTGGTAAAAGCAATGGAGGTTTTGATAGAATATAAAAGCAATGGAGGTCTTAATATGGAGAATCATAACCATACAAAGATTGAGATAATCGATCTAACCGTGAAAATGATTGGTAGTAACATTGGTAATTTGGTAGTAACCTTAATTTGTTGTTACAATAGCCTGCCCCTATATATATTACTATTTTATTTATTTATTTATTTTTTATCTGTTTTCAACCCTTTTATATCTTTTTTTTGGGTTCACCTACCATCAATCCCAATTACTTTGGGATAAAGATTTTGTTGTTGATCATTTGTGTTTTTAACTGTTATGATCAGGAACTCTAAAACCTTCTTCAAGCTCCTCTGGAGAATTTTCAATTGGACAAGAGCAACTTTCTTCAATTTCAAGGGAGCATGATACTACTGCTCTGCGGGAAAATGGAGGGGTAAGCGTGCCAAGAGTAATTTTCTTAATTTGGTAATGGTATTGATTAGTGTCATAAATATGCATATGATTCTTCTGAATCACTTCATAAGGTTATAGGGTTATCACATTTATTGAAAACCAATTTAGAGAAGGGGATTCGAGATGATGATGCCGACTTGGTAAAACGGAGGAATGCATTTGGTTCCAACAACTACCCTCGAAAGAAAGGAAGTACTTTTTTGGTAAATTTTGGTGTTCATTGTTCATTTGATGATCCTCTCTTTACTAGAGGGCTATTGTACTGATGTCTTTGTCGTCTTTCACAGATGTTTATGTGGGATGCTTGCAAGGATTTGACCTTGATTATTTTAATGGTAGCTGCCATGGCTTCATTAGCACTTGGGATAAAATCTGAGGTTAGCTGAGAAAGTTATGGTGCAATTATTTGTTTCAATATTGCTGAAAAAAATAAATAAATTAAATCCTGTTAGGTGTCTGTCTCTTTACTTAGTGGATACAGTGGACATGTCTCATCCCATACATACAAGTATTATCATTATTTAACTTTTTCTTCTATTTTTTTTTTTTGGGTATAACCTGGAGATATCCCCATTCAACCTTCTTCTGTCACCTTGTCCTCGAAGTACGGCCCTGAAGGCTACCCCTCATTGGAACAACGGATGCATTGAGTTTTGCAACCCCCAAAGATTTTCAAAAATTTGCTTGAGGCAGGGTTTGAATCCCTGATGCAAGCAAACCCTTGGAAGCTCAGTTACCAACTGAGCTACCCTTGGGGGTTATTATTGTTGAGATATATAGTCCCACATTGGTTGTATGTGCAACTAATGTGGAGTTTATAAGGTCTTGAGCATTCCCACCCTTTGAGCTAGCTTTTGGGGTGGTGTATCCCAAGGTTCTTTACAATTATTAAACTTCTTTTTGGAAATACATATTAATCTCCAAACCTTGCCTTGGTCTTTGCATATTACTGAACCCTTCTAACTATTGAAGTAGTAACAGTTGTCACTTGTTCTTCTGCAGTGCTTAGGTTAACACCTCTACACCAGCAATATTTCTGTTAGTATTGTTAGCTGTTGCTGTTAGTAGTTTGCTGAGCTGTTAGGTTGGTTTCTGTTCTGTGAGTTAGTTATGGATCTGTTTCACTCAGTCAGAACCTGATGGCTTGCTGTGAAAGCTCCTCCTTGTATGCCTATGTTACAAGAGGAATAGTGTTATCCTAAGATCTGCAGCAGCATAGTGCTGCGCTAGTAACTAGTATGTTATTACTCTAATACTAACTTAGCCAACATGTAAATATTAATCCTCAAACCTTTTGCTGGCCTTTACTAACTGCTTTTTATTTCCAACTTAGTTATCAGAGGTTAAAAGGAAATTCTTGAGTTTCTTATTTCTCGAGCTGTCATATTTCCCTTTACCTACTAAATGATCCTTATTTATATTCTTGGATAACATATGTTGCATGCTATATAGCTTTCCTTCCCTTTTTTAATCCTTATATAGACCTAGTGTACAAGCCGCCTTCAGTTAGCTTAGCAGCTTTTGATTAACTGATATCATCTATATACCAGCCTACTAGCACAAATATACAACTATAGACATGTGCTTTTTCTTTGGCTAATGACAAAGTGTTCTTATTAAATGGAGACAGTTGCATTGCAAAATGTAATAGTAAACCGGGACACATTTACTCTTATACAAGTGCGCTCTTATTTGGTAGGCCAGGTGCCTTTCTTGAGTTGCAGTCTACATTTATAAATTAACAACTTGAACAAAAAACAAAAAAAGAGACCATCCAGTCTATTAATTGGCAAGCAAGTAACCAAATAAGTCTTGACATAGTTATGTGATTTATAGCATATTTAATTTTGATTAATTTTGGGAAAATATTTTTTTTTTTTGATTAAATCCCTCTCATGAGATTTGAGTATAAGTTTTATCCAAACACACATTTACTAGGTTTCGTACATCAAACATTATAGATTGGTAGACGATGTGTCTTAGGACGAAATGGAGAAAAGCTATAAGCAAGATGGAGATCTCTATGCTTCAGATGGTCCCTTTTTAGTCCTTTTCCTCTTCAATCCCCTTTCTCCTTCTTTTCCCCTTGTCTTTTATCTTATTTCCCCCTTCCCCCTTCCCCCTTCCCCATTTTTATTTGATTTTTAATCTCCTCTTATATATCATTGGGTTCATCTACCACAGACCCCAATTAGCTTGGGTTAAAGGTACTGTTGATGATGATTAAATCCCTCTCATGATGATTTGAGTATAAGTTTTATCCAAACACACATTTACTAGGTTTCGTACGTCAAACATAGCTCCTGTCGTATGTTGTTGAGTTCAAAACTACAACCTCCGTACTTCTTTTTTATGGTATATTAGTTTTGAGCTATACAATTTAGAGATTATCTAATATTTTTTCTATAGTAAAGAGCGCTGATGGTTATGAAAGGCTAGAAGGTTCAAGTACAGGCTTCCTGATTGACAAATTTTATTCACTGTTACTCTTTTTTGTTTGTTTTTTTTTTTTTTTTGGGGGGGGGGGGGGGGGGCGCTACTTTTTAGTCCGTATCAGGACAGCTAGAAAATAAATTTTGTATGTGTAGTTAGGTGTCTAAAAAAGTATTTATCAGAAATGTTTTAGTTGCTCATACAAGTGCTGGAATTTGAGCCTGGTTGAATTTGGTGTCTTGATGAATGTTTAATTTGATACAACCCTTGCATATTAGTTGGATCTGTTCTAACCAGAATTAATGAAAATATTTAGATTGTGAAGCTTTTGGAGGTTGTTTGTGGTTCTTGAGCACAATTTGGTTGTAATAACGTTAAAGTAAATTGCAATCTTTTGGAAGAGCTTTAAGACTTGATCATCATATTTTTTATGATATATCTGTAAATTGCATTCTTTTGACTGTTATTTTATTCCATCAATTCATTCATTTGACCTTTAGTGTTCCTTAGCCTTTATATTTTCAGTTAGGCCCTTTATAATCTGGGATAAGAATATGTTTTTGTTAATGCTGAGAATTAGGTTGACCCAGTTCAGAATTAATTTTCTGTTTCAGGGTATTGCGGAAGGATGGTACGATGGGGGAAGCATTACCTTTGCAGTTATTCTAATTATTGTTGTTACAGGTATTAATATTTTGTTTTTGTAAAGTTTATAATGCATTAAAGCATATATTTATTGTACAGAACCAATTCAACCCAAAAGTTTAAGCTGTTGGGTGAGGGCCTTTTTAATGGTTTATATTATTCTCTAAGATACCCCCTCACGCAAGAGCCCTTTGAGCTTGAAGCATGGATAATGCATAGGCCAAATTTTTAGTTTACCTTGTGCTTACGTAATTCCACAAGTGGGGGCGGTGAGGATCGAACTCGTTACCTTGTGGTCACTGAAGCTCTGATACCATGTAAAGAACTAATTCAACTCAAAAGTTTAACATTTATGATTCTATTTCTCAGTTTTCTATTTGATATAAAGTGTGTTTGGTGTAGACACAAGTCCATGGTCAACTTTGTCATTTATTGTGGAGGTTATCATAATATTTATATATCTAGTCATGTTCTCCTTTGAAGGGCACATTACCCTCTTTCGTTTCTCCTCTTTTTGTAGCTGTAAGTGATTATAAGCAGTCTCTTCAGTTTCGAGACTTAAATGAGCACAAGAGAAACATACATTTGGAGGTTTGTTTTATTTTTATTTTTTATTTTATGGTGGCTTAGCTATACTTTTTGATAATTGTTATTATATTTTTTTTTTAAAATTATTATCAATTTATCAAAAAAAAATTAACCTTATGTTTCAATTTGTGCTTGAGAAGGTTATTAGAGATGGTAGAAGAGTTGAGATCTCCATATATGATGTTGTTGTTGGTGATGTTATACCCCTTAATATTGGTAACCAGGTACGTGAGCTTATCTTTTTGCCATTTTTGCATATCATACCTAATGTTGCATTTCCTTCTTGTTATTTAGTTCTTAACTGATGTTTTCTAGGTCCCTGCTGATGGAATTTTGATCACCGGTCACTCTCTTGCAATTGATGAATCAAGTATGACCGGGGAGAGCAAGATTGTAAGGATTTATTTCTATAATGAGGAGAATAAGAATACTTCTCTCTTTTCCTAACTTGACAACAATTTCCCTTTTCGCAGGTCAATAAGAATTCTAAGGATCCTTTTCTGATGTCTGGATGTAAAGTTGCAGATGGCAGTGGCACAATGCTTGTAAATTTTAGACATTCCTTTTCCCTTCCATTTTGTAATTGTTCATTCTTGATTTTATTTACAAAATTAAGGAGTTTTCAAAGGGATGTGGCTGTAATTAATAACATATATAATAGGACCCTAACCCTTTTTGCTTTAATGGGTGTGAATTATCCCAAGGACAAAAAAACTGTGCACTTACTGGGAAGTGTTTCCTAATTTGATTTATATAGATATTGATTGTTCTTCCTGGAAAATTTTGTTTGCATAGAGTTTTGATTATACACTCCTTTAGTTCATGCTGTTGAGGAAGGGATTTTATTCCCAGTCTGATTTTTTGAAAACATCTGAGGCCGAGAGAAATTAGAATGGTGAAAATATGGATTAAATTGTTCTGAACTTCGTTCAATAATTCAATATGTTGAATTGATTATATTAATTCTTTCTTAGTTTTCGTCCACCTATTTTATTGATTAAACAACTCTTTTACTGATTTTTCTTTTTGTTGGTTGCTTTCTTTCCTTAGGTAACCGCTGTTGGTATTAATACTGAATGGGGGCTTCTAATGGCTAGCATTTCAGAAGACAATGGGGAAGAAACCCCTTTGCAGGTCTTCTTTTTACATGTGGTCTCTCTTTTAGTTCCTTCTTCTTATAGTATGTTTACCAATTTAAGTCCTCAATATAGGTACGCTTAAGTGGTCTCGCCAATTTCATTGGCATTGTTGGACTCTCTGTGGCTGTCGTTGTTCTGATTGTGCTACTGGCCAGGTTGTCATCTGTTTCTTTGTATGATTCAAATATATTTTTTAGGTTAATAGCAATATTCAACTTTGATCCTTTATCAAATAGCCCCGTGGTTTATTTTGTGGTTAATCTCTGTAAAGAACCTTGGGATACACCACCTCAAAAGTTAGCTCAAGGGGTGAAAGTGCCCAATGCCTTATAAACTCCACATTAGTTGCACATACAACCAATGTGGGACTATATATCTCAATATGCCCCCTCACACGAGAGCCCATTGGGTTTGAAGAGTGGAAGATGCAACAGACCCAGCCTACCTGTGCTAAGAAAGTCCACAAGAGAAAGTGAGGGACAGCGAGGCTCTGATACCATGTAAAGAACCCATCTAACCAATGTGAGACTATATATATCTCAACAACCTCCATGAGATTTCAATTATGTCAATCACCCGCTTACAATTTTTAACATATGGCTTATTAACCCATGCAGTTTCAAATAACTCATTTGATTAATTGTCAAAATTGAAGGCACGCGGTAATTTTCCATTTGTTGAAAGTTTAAGCAGGTTGATTACCGAAACTGAAACTACAGGGAGATATTTGCCATATATTGAAAGCATAAGTGTGTTAATTGTCAACAGTGAAATAATGGGACTATTTGCCAAAGGCTCGAAGTTGAAGTGGGTAATTTGCAAATTAACTTAGTTTTTTTATTATGCATGTCTCTGAATGGCAACCTATAAGCACAGATATTTCTCTGGGCATAGTAAAAATCCAGATGGAAGTGTTCAATTTACAGCAGGCAAGACCAAAGTTGGTGATGCTATTGACGGTGTAATTAAGATAGTCACTGTTGCGGTATGTGCATTGAGAAGTACTGGACTACCAGAATATTCATGATCCTTTTACAGATTAATACTCATAATATTTCTCAGGGTTTAAAATTAATATGTATGAGGTGATTGTAACTCGTTGAATATGTAGGTCACCATTGTAGTGATTGCAGTACCTGAAGGGCTCCCTTTAGCAGTTACTTTAACGTAAGTTCGCTATTTTTTTTCTGAATTTCTAGTTTTACTTTTTTCCTTATTACCTAGTCATGATAGATATGTCATAACATTGGTACCAATGCACATTATGGATAATGTTGTGAGTGTCCTTATACTTCAATATGATTTATAGATTTGATCCTTAAGTGGCTGTAAATTGGGGACCAAGTTAGTGACCCCGGCCCAGTTTTGATCCAATGTAGAATAAAGGGCCGACCCAGTTCAAATACCCACTTCGTGAGTGTCTGGGGAAGGGAATACTTTTTGCAGAGAGGCTGATTCGAACCCGCGACCTGACACACCACGGCAAGCAAGCTTACCGCTGAGCCAATGTAGAATATGAAAATAATTATATGATGAAACCGTTATCTATATTATGTCCATACTAGATTATGAATATTCTTTTTTCTATATCTCCATTTTTTTTTTTATTTCTCTCTACTAACACACTTTTTGTCCGCCAACTATTTGTAGACTTGCTTACTCAATGAAAAAAATGATGGCAGATAAAGCTTTGGTATGCTCATTGTTGTTTGTGCTTTGATTGGATTTTGGTGTATCTATTTGAGAAATGCTGTTTAATTTAACACATTTAATTGCAGGTGAGGAGGCTTTCTGCCTGTGAGACAATGGGGTCTGCCACTACCATTTGCAGTGATAAGACTGGAACATTGACTATGAACCAGGTTAGTTGTGATGCAGTATTCAAACCTGATTTATATTTTAAATTTTCATGGTAAATCACATAAACTTGTAGGAGGGCACTTGCTGCAAATATTTTCATTTTATTGTGGCATATATGCTTCCCAGCTTATGTCAAGCAGGAAACATCTCAACTTCTACGATTAGGAGTTAAGAATTTCAACTGACCTGTCAATTTGACATCTTATTAAACTAACATGAATGGGCAACGGTACACCGTGTTGATCTGTTGCTGTTTATTTTGGGTCAATATTTTGAGGAAGTAGTTCATTTTTGTTGGCATTAATGGAGATAATAGTGCACCCAGCAGATTTTAATTTCACCTAAATTCTTTGTGACAGATGACTGTAGTTGAGGCTTGTATTGGAGGGAAGAAGATTGTTACTCCTTACAGAAAGTCACAGCTCTCTCCTATGCTCTGCTCATTGCTGATTGAAGGTGTTGCACAGAACACTAATGGAAGTGTTTATGTACCTGAGGTATGCTAGAAATGTTTTTCTTCACTCTGTTTTTCGCCCCTATAATAATTTCCTATTTCAGTGGATCTAATACTTCTTTATGCATAATTCTGTTCTTTACAGGGTGGTAACGGTGTTGAGGTTTCTGGATCACCAACAGAAAAGGCAATTTTACATTGGGGAATTCAGGTCTGTTTTGAAACTTCAATTTTTCTTTCATTTTAAGGAGCATTGTGTGTTTACAATTAGTTGTGAATGTTATATCAAATCTCAGCTTGGGATGAATTTTGAGGCTGCCAGATCAGAATCATCAATAATTCACGTCTTTCCATTCAATTCAGAAAAAAAACGAGGCGGAGTTGCAATACAGACGGTATTACCTTGTTGGCATTTTAATTCAAATATGCAGAATTTTTGCTTCTGTTCTAAAATGATTAATATTTTATTAGGCAGCAAATATATTATATAATGACGCACTGTATCCTGTTTATCATCCAGAGCACTATTTCTAATAATTTTATACTTTGCAGGCTAACTCTGAAATCCATATACATTGGAAAGGTGCTGCTGAGATAGTCCTAGCCTGCTGTACAGGGTTTATGGATGCAAATGATCAGTTGGTGAAGATTAATGAAGAGGAGGTTTGAGAAAATAGTCATATATTGATATCAGTTGTTAAATAAAGGCCAATTTATTTTGCCCCCTCCCCAAAATTTCTCTTGTTTGGAAATCTTCTATATCTTATAAGAATTTTCACTAATTAGTTTTCCTACTTGCCAGCTCGTTTCTCTATCTTTTGTCATTACATTACATACATTCATGTAACAAAAGAAAATACTTTGAGCTGTTTGGATGGCATTTGATAGTTTTTTATTGATTTTGTCAATGTTCTTTTAAGTGAAATTTTCCTGGTTTGCAGATGACAGTTTTTAAAAAGGTTATTGAAGATATGGCTGCTGAAAGTCTACGTTGTATTGCCATTGCATATAGATTGTGTGAAATGGAGAATGTTCCAACAAGTGAAGAAGAACTTGCTCACTGGTCATTACCAGAGGATAATCTCGTTTTACTGGCTATTGTTGGTATGAAGGTATGTATTTCCTCCAGAAATTACAGTGTCATTGTCATCTTTGTTTTATTACAAGTATTATATTTTCCCGATTGTGTTCTTGTCCTATCGAATATTATACTCAAATGATTTTTCTTTATCTTTAATTTTATATTGAAGCTCGTTAGCACCATTATTTATACTTTTCCCATACGTCATTCTTTCTCTGGTATGTCTTGTTTAGAGTCTATAATCATTCTTAAAGGGCCCACTCTTTGTTGAATGACTTCCACAAGTTGATTTCTATCATTTCAGTATGTTCTTATTATTTGTCTTATGTCAATTATGCATTGAAATGCAGGATCCTTGTCGACCTGGTGTAAAAGATGCAGTGCAGCTTTGCCAAAAGGCTGGGGTTACGGTATTAGTACATGCTTTTGATGTTGAAAGTCATTTTGTTCCCATCAAGATACTTAGGTCATTGAGACAAGCATAACATGTTTTAGTACAATTTTTACTTTTTATTTTATTACTCCATTTATGATGCTAAGTGGCCAAGGTTTTACCCATTGATGACTCTATCTATATTGCACTGATACTTCAAAAAATCTGAAGTGTTATGTCCGACACTCTAACACTCTCTGATACTCTGACACACTCCGACATCCATAATATTTTAAATTTCATTACATATTGTGAAAAAATTGATCGATGTTTTACCAAACTGGTATAATAAAAATTAAAAATGGATACCGAATAAATCTCAATGGAGTGTATAAGAGATTTTCAATTTGAAAATATAATAGTAAATATTTACATCTTATCTTTCGTTGCAAAGTTGATGGATGTTATAAGTTTATTTTCATTTTTTTTGTTAAATTATTAAATATTAAATATAATATACACTACATAATTTAAAAATATTTTTTAATATCAAAATGTGACCTAACGTCTCAAAATCTAACATTTTTTAGAATTAACGTGTCGGAGTGTCGTGTCCCGTGTCGGTATCGGTGCAACATAGATGACTACTATTGAAATAGGATTTGGATCCTCTTATGTTTAAAAATGGTCATGTGATCATATTGTTTGATCACAACCATTTATTTAAAAATCGTACAGTTTTCTATCTCTTATCTCATAATCAATAAGTGGTTGTGATCAAACAACTTGACCACATGACCATTTTTAAACATGAGAGGATCCAAATCCATTGAAATATGTGTTTATTTTAAAGAACATTAAATGATTTATTTGCTAAAATTTCTTCTTTTCTTGAGATATTCTGAGAAAACTAGGACGTTTGTCCCGAAAATAGTCTATGCTAAGTTCAATGAGAGAAACTCTCTCATCCCTTCGTTAAAGCTGCTCCTTTTAAGTTTTAGAAAATTGAAACCCACTCTCTTGCTAAACACTTTCACTAGAGACCAGTCAAGCCCCTGTCACCGTGGTTTACAGAGTTTTGCGTGCTCCTTTTGAGAGAATTTTATTAAGGGGCAAGGTTCTCTTTGTTTGTCACACTGTCAAAGGTTGTCTCAGCAACATACATATCATAATCCTCTTCAATATTCATTGCTTTCTTGTGCCACGTCCTCGACAATAGTATAAGAAACAGAAAGCACTGATAGAGACCTCAATTCAAACAAAGAACCAACAAAAAAGAACAGGAATTTGGCCTGGTAAAACCAGATTTTCATATATATGGAAATTCAAAGAGTAATTACAAATCTGAAATGACAGTGAAACAGAAACAGAAAATTACAAGGAAAGGAAGAATAACTAGAGAGCTGGAAAACAAAATACAAATGCAGAAAGGAAAGTGATTATGTGAAGCAATTGGAGAGTCCTCACTCTCTTCGTGAACATGACGCTATCGTGACGTTGGCATCGCTTGAAACTCCCTTCGTCTCAGGGTTCTTAGGGATTTCAGAATTTGGGGCCACTTGATTTGTGCGACCCACATTTTGTGCTATTTGGTTTAAGGGTGGGTATTATGTTGTCCTGCAATTAACAAGTTAGTATGACCCATTGTGGTCTTGTTGTCACTAAGCCTAGAACAAAAACAAACTGTGTGGGTTCCCTTACTGGGCCCATAAGCCATTCCCTTCCCCAATGACCCAAAACCTTCTTCTGCCCACGCCATGTTGCACTTTTCGATCTCCAGGCTGTATTTCATCATCTCCGTTAAGCTAATGGTTGGGTTTATCAGGGGCTAGGATTTCCTTATAAGAAGGAACCTTGGGTGGCAATGTGGCATCAGGGGCTCTAACCTGCGCTGCTGTTGAGAAACACGAGGTTGTTTGTGGCTTCTGCATAAGCTTGAATGCTCAAGCAATTAATCTTTATACAGCTTTACTCTTACTACATTATAACCATAGAGCTTATTGAGATAGTGTCATATTTAAGATGATTGTGTTCCTTTTATCAAAAAAAGTTGATTAGACTTAGTTATTATGTTCCTTGTAGAAGGTAAATCTTGAGAACTAGAGGGGTTTATCATACATTAATTATTACACACACAAAAGAACGGTTTTAAGATACTGGTAGTGGTAAGTACCTTGCAGTTCCATTTCTATGATTTTTTTTTTTTTTTTGTAACAATAATGTGTCGATTTTATAAGTTTTCAGATTGCAAAGGCCAATTTTTCTATTATTATCTTCATCTGATCTTAAATGCTTGGGTTAAAAGTGATGTTGATGTTGATGTATCTTCATCTGATCTTAAATATCCTGCAAAAAAAGCACTATTTAGGTTAAGAAATGCAATATGCTTGGCATATGTACAAAAGGCATTGATTTGTTTGGTATGGGTTTCTAATCCTAGGTAAAAATGGTCACTGGTGACAATGTTAAAACTGCAAAAGCAATTGCTTTGGAATGTGGAATACTTGGTTCTTTTGCTGATGCTACAGAGCCAAACATCATTGAAGGAAAAAAATTTCGTGACCTGTCAGATGCAGGGAGAGAAGAAATTGCTGAAAGGATATTGGTAAAATTCAACTACTATAACAGCCTTAGTGGTGTAACTCCTTGGAAAATGAGATTTAAGTGTCAATGCCATGTAATAGGTTATGGGACGGTCGTCTCCTAATGACAAGCTTTTGCTTGTGCAAGCATTGAAGAGGAAGGGGCATGTCGTGGCTGTAACTGGGGACGGAACAAATGATGCTCCAGCACTACATGAGGTTTGCATATATTTTTCTTTTGTTTTTTTGGGATTATACTTTTTTTTAATCTTAAGTACATGTTAAGATGATGACAATTATTGTAATGGTACACAAGGTGAGTATAACTCATGCCAACATTGTTATTGCTATATTGATTTTTATATTCTATTAGAATCTCAGTATCATGTTATCACATGACTACAAGTCCTTATATGGTTGAATGATTCCGTTTCCTTATTTCAAATTTTAAATCTATTGTTCCAATGCACTTTTTTTGGTTCAAATTATGTAAACTAGTTTTTGTTTTCATGGTTGTTTGTAATTCTATACTTTTTGGAGTTTAGGCAGACATAGGTCTTGCAATGGGCATTCAAGGTACAGAAGTTGCTAAAGAGAGCTCCGATATCATTATTTTGGATGACAATTTTGCTTCAGTTGTGAAGGTTAGTCCTCATATCATATTTCGGGGGAAATTTTTCTTAATGATGCATATTTAACGTCCACCTTTTGAAGAACTACCTCTGACATTACTTGAAATGCAGAATTATAAGTTTTTGAATACTCTGTTTCATGAGAGGCTTATATAGAATTGAGGTGCATTGCATAGCTTCAAATACTATTTTTATGTAAGCTGATAATAAATTGATGTTTGAAGCATAACTGGTAGCAAGCCTTTCATTTTTCTCCACTAGCAGGTTGTCAGATGGGGGCGGTCTGTATATGCAAATCTTCAGAAATTTATCCAGTTTCAGCTTACAATCAATATAGCAGCTATTGCTATAAATGTTATTGCTGCATTTTCCTCAGATGACATCCCACTAAATACAGTACAGGTTTACTCTCTGTCTGTGTCTCAGTGGTTTGGGCTCACTCATTTATTCAGGAGGTCATCCTTACGAGCTATATCTCTTTATTTTCTCAACAGCTTCTCTGGATAAATCTTATCATGGATACTCTTGCAGCACTAGCCTTGGCAACTGAACTACCAACTGATCACCTGATGGATCAGCGTCCAGTGGGACGAAGGTCAGAATTATATTTTTTTTCTGGAACTTGAGACTTTGGATCATGAGTCATGACTTCTGTCTGAAAGTTGCACAGAACTTGAAAATTTAGAAGAGTGGAAAACAATTCAGGGGGGAAAGCCAATTCTTTTGTTTTTTAGTTTTCCAATTTTTTTGCCATGGGTATTTATTTTATTTTTTATGATGCTACTTACAAATGACTTAACAATGAATGATCACCAATAGGATACGAAACCCATACCTCTTTGTCAATACTGCTAAATCCTACTTAGTTGAGCCAATCTTCATTTTTGTTTTCAGTGTAACTTTTTAATATAAGAAAGAAAATTAAAGAAGAATAACGTACAAGATACCAAAATACCAAAATAGCATGGGACAATCAAAGTATGACTTCAATGCAGTAAGGCTTTATGAATCCCTCTGAAAATAACCAGTAGCCAAGAGCCATAAAGATGCTAGTGAACGCTGAATTTATTATGCTTGCAAGGATCATAATGCATTTGTAAAACTGGACCTACTGAGTTTGAAGCTCCAGTATCAAAACATCAGATGCCGTACCTATGCGCTTTGATGGTTTGTGTTATGAAATTGACAGTATCTTGTTTGCTTTTCAGAGAACCTCTTGTAACAAATATTATTTGGAGGAATCTGCTGATTCAGGTGAGTTCTGTTTCTCATTTATTAGTGCCCCTGTTGTCATTGTAGTTGACTGGGATTTTATTTTAATGCAAGCTAAGCCACAAACAGCTAACTAATAAATGTTAAAACTTTAGTATAGTGTCTTGCTTCACCATTATGCAGTGAATGCCATATTATTTTTATTGTCTCTAACTAAATCATCAATAATGGTTGGAACCTTTCAGGCAATGTACCAAGTGTGTGTCTTGCTTACACTCAATTATCGAGGCAGGAGCTTACTGGGTCTCAGGCTCGAGACCAATGACCTTGCAATCAAAGTGAAGAACTCTCTGATATTCAATGCATTTGTTTTTTGTCAAGTAAGTCCTTATCTTCACCAACTTATGGGAAAATACAAATCTCTAAGGTCTAAGCTTTAGAAGAGGACACTACATTTCATATTCAGGTTTCTTTGTTTGGGATGAAGGGAAGACTCGTTCATTTGTCTTCTGACTTAGAGCTCTTAATTGGATTGAAATATGCATAAATACATAAAAAAATTAATTTTAAATGAAATATAATTTCAGATAAGTTAGAAAATTTTAATTAGAATACTTGCCACTCAAATCAAATTATAAAATAAGGGAAGTTACTATGCCTTTAAAAGATTAAAACTATTGTTTTCTTCATTTTCTATTATAGTTGTGGTTGAGCTCTTCCTTTTACAATCTTTTTAATTCCCAAATGGCTTAGTTGTGTTTTTGGTATGTAACTATGAATAGGTTTAGGATTGTTGAAAGGCTGCAGATTTGAAGTTTAATTTTTAGTGATATGTTCACTGCAAAAATGAGGGATAAGAAAAATAAAGACCTCACCCAGGTTAAGTGTATCAAGGATGAAAATCAAAAACTTTTAGTAAGAGATACAGAGGTAAATGAAAGGTGGATGAACTACTTTAACAAGCTTTTTAATGGAGATGGCGATAAAAGCGAGGTGGTCTTGGAGGATGGACGCTTATGATGATTTGAATAGAAGATTTGTATGCAGAATCCAAGCACATGAAGTTAAGGAGGCTTTAAAGAGGCATTATGTCTATTAACAAATAAGATCCTTGATGTCTGGAAGAAAAATGTACTTGTGTCTATTTACAAAAACAAGGAAGATATTCAAAAAATTTCTAACAATAGAGGCATTAAGTTTATGAGCCATATTATAAAGTTGAGGGAGAGAGTTATTGAACACCGCTTGAGGAGAGAGACCAAGGTCTCTATAAATCATTTTGGCTTTACGCCATGGAGATGTACCATGGAAGCCATTTTTTTGATGCGGCAATTAATGGAGAGATATCGAGAAAAGAAGAAGGATTTACATATGGTGTTTATAGATCTAGAGAAGGCATATGATAGGATCCCAAGAAAAGTTTTATGGTAGGTTCTTGAGAAGAAAAAAGTACCATCAAAGTATATAGATGCAATCAAGGATATGTATGATGGTGCTACTACATGTGTGAAAGCTTGTAATGGAACATCAAATTATTTCCCTATCATGGCAGGTGTACATCAAGGTTCTGCTCTAAGTCCTTATCTTTTACCTTAGTTATGGATGAACTAACAAAAGATATTCCAGAAGAAGTGTCATTGTGTATACTTTTGGCAGATGATATTGTGCTTATTGATGAGACCAAGGTCGGTGTTATAGAAAACTAGAATTGTGGAGAAGCATGTTAGAGTCTAAAGAATTTACGTCAAGCCGGAGCAAGACTAAATATATGAAATGTGAGTTTCCGGAGCAAGACTAAATATATGAAATGTGAGTTTTCTCTGGCAGGAGATAGAGACCAAAATTCTGTGCATCTGCGTGGACAAGAGGTACTCAAGAAAGATGCTTTCAAATATTTGGGGTCAGTTTTGCAAAAAGGTGAAGAGATTGATGAGAATGTAAATTATAGAATCAGAGCAGGGTGGATGAAATGGCGTAGTGCATCTAGGTTTTTGTGTGATCACAAAATTTTCCTTAAGCTAAAATGAAAATTCTATAGAACAATAGTAAAGTCTGCAATGTTATATAGAGCTGACTGTTGGCCAGCACATAGGCAACATAAGCATACAATGGGAGTAGTGAAAATGAGGATGTTAAGGTGGATGTGTGGTAATACTGTAACACCCCGTTCTAGAACCGGTTTGTTAACATCGCATTATGATATTAAGCGCAGTTACAATCACATGGGTTCAATTAAAATCCGGATAAATTTTTCATTTTAAAACATGCGGAATCAGATAAATTAAGCTTAACATCATGTTCTTATTCCATTTTTAAACCATTAATTTACTTCCTATTTATTTCACAACTTCTACTATATTTTAGATCTCTTCATTAGCTACGCGTGACTTCAAACCGCGCTCAAATCGGAGCACTGTAGCCCAAGTTATGACAATCGGAAGCAATACAAGAGAGTGTTGGTCACAGGCCCCGCGCGCTTCAGCGCGTTACCGGGCGCTCAAGCGCGCGTTATCGGGCGCTAAAGCCTCCATCTGGGCGCTTAAGCGCACGGAGGCAGGAAGTATCAGGTATTTCAGTGTAAATGGGCGCTTAAGCGCGCACCAGGGCGCTCAAGCGCGCTATCCTGGGCGCTTAAGCTCCCATTGGGACGTTTTAGCGCGCAGAGACAGAAGCATCTCCTCCTTCAGTGGCTAAGGGCGCTCAAGCGCGGACCAGGGCGCTCAAGCGCGTGGGCGCTTCAGCCCCACTCTGGGCGCTAAAACTCGAGGAGACAGTAAGCCTCCCTTCTTTCTGCAGCGAAGGGCGCTTAAGCGCAAACCAGGGCGCTCAAGCGCGTAATCCTGGGCGCTTAAGCCCCCACTTTGGGCGCTCCAGCGCGAGGAGGCCGAATGCATTGGCACTCACAGGGGCAGCAGGGCGCTTGAGCGCGCTCCTGGGCGCTTAAGCGCGCTGCCAGGGAATTTCAATTCCCACATTTTTCAAGTCCAAGTCTAGGGGAAGATTCATCCCCATTCCAAACATCAATTGTCCATGCCCCAAAACTAAATCCTAGCACTCATCCAACCTCTCCTCATGAGATTTAGCTAGAATTTGGGCAGCATAACCTTTGTTTTCTCAACGTTTCCCAATTTAAACAAAAGGTACCTAATTGATTCTCAGCCCAACCAATTCAATAACTCAATACATAACAAGCATGCATATATTGAATTTCAAGTAGGCATCATTTACAGTACATATCCATTACAAATCATGGAACTTAGCTTACAAAACACTATGATCATTCCCTTGGCTCCCATCAACAAAAGAGATGACCAAAGGCATGAGCATAGGCCAAGTCCATTCCAATATACAAATCATAAATCTAGCATTGCCTATTAATTACAATTCTATACATGTGAGCTACAAAACAACATGTATAATCTCAAAAGAAATGCCACATTTCATGCATATGCTAATCCAGATATGGCCACTTGCCACCAGAGGCTCCTGCAGCATCCTTACCTGAAAGGGGGTCCCCACAACACGGGGTGAGATATACGAATATATCCAGTAAACCAGGGGTCCTTGGAGCATCTCTCCACCCCACAGTTCCATATCAGTGTAATAGCAATAACAATAATAATGCAGTAAATACATATCTATGCAAAGTGCAATACATCTCCAGGAGAAATCCCTCGAGCTCTCAAGCTGTCCTAAGGAAACTCAGATGCAAATAGTCCTACTGGCCAGCTAACTACCAAGTATGATTTACGCATCGTCATGCAACATACCAACATAGGGAAACACCATCCTACCACACCAAATGCATACACATACGTATAACAAAGCATTACACTATTTTATTGCATTTATATACACAATCACAACCTCTACCCTTTCAGGGCTTGGTAGAACAGTCAAGGGAATTACACCCAAGGTCCGAAGGCTTACCTCAATGCTTCAGTCAACCTTTGTTCACCACCAACAGGTTCCACAGTCAGTCAATTACAATACTTCACTTCTCAAACAAAACCTACACAAGGTTTAATGCAATCAACACATATTGCATCCAATAACATCTCATAGCTATCAACCAAGCTATACAATTCATACCAAACATAAGCATGAACTCACCTATCCAATGGAGCTAATCAAGCTCCATAGCTTGCTCCAATGGTTGATCACTCACGGTTGGTCCAAATGCCTCAATCCTAGACAACACCAAGGCATAATCAACAACCAACCAAACCAAACCATTTATTAACAATGCAAGAAAGTCCAATATCAAGCATCATATACTTGCCATTTTCCAAATATACTCATTTAGCTATCTAAGCTCATTTTCACCGATTAAATGACACTCTTAGCATTTTCCATAAGATGCTCTAAGCTCCATTCTTCCTAGAACATAGCTAATTTAACAACATTTCATCAAAAACCCCAATTCACTATTCATTGAACCCTAACTCATGCAATTTTCCATGAAAATAAGGTTCAAGGGGTAGAATCTTACCACCAATGGTTGCACAACCAAGGATTGATGGCTCCTCAAGCTTCAATGGAGGTAGAAACTCTCAAAACCCCAAATTTCACCAAAGGGCCGAATTTTTGAGAGCCAATATCCCTCTCCACAATGCTCCCCACTCAAAACTAAGCTTGGATTATGAAAGAGGGGAAGATTTAGAGTAGTTTAGGCTTTTGGATCACCCAAAACGGTTGGGATTTGCTCTCCCTCTCTCTTCCTCCCTCCTTTCCCTTCTTCTTCTTTCTCCTTCTTTGTCTCTGTTTCTCGACGGAGGGGTTGGGGAAATGGGGCTCCTTTATTTGCTTTCTGAGTCACTTACTTAGTTAAGTGACTTATGTGGGTATTGGTTCATCTATCTATTTACCTCCATTAATTACCAAATTTTACCCAAAAGTCTGGAATATTATTCTAGGGATATTTATAATTTTATTTTTATATTTTGGGCACTTTCGCCAGTATCCATTTATACCCCTTAATTTTCATTGAGTACACTTTTTAACTTCAAAGTGACTCAGATTTATTTAATTAAGCCTTATACTTAATTTTGCTCACTAAAACATGCTCAATTATTTAATTACATGCTATTTGCTAATTAATTAGGTTAGGGCTATTATAAATACGAGGTTAGATAAGATAAGAAATGAAAATATTCGACGAAAGATGAGAGTAGTACCGGTGGCAGAAAAGATAAGAGAACATAGATTGAGGCGATTTGGGCACGTAATGAAAAGAACTTTGGATACTCTCGTAAAAACAAAGATTTGTTACCAAGAGCTTGACATAAAAAAAGGTAGAGGTAGACCAAAACTTAACTGGGGGAAAGTAGTAAAACAAGACTTAATTGAGTTAGATATAGATTGGCGGACGGTGTGTCTTAGGACGGAGTGCAGAAAAGTTATAAACATGATGGAAGGTAGACATGCTTTTATTACTATGTTTCAAACGGTCTCTTTTTCCACTTTATCTCCCCCTTCTCTTTCCTCTTCCTTCTTCTCTTTTATTCCACTTTTCTTTTAAATCTTTTTCTCCTACCTATTTATTTATGTGTTTTTCTTTCCTTTTCCCCTATATCCCTTTTTATGTTTTTTTTTATCTATTTATTTTTTTATTTTTTACCTTCTTATTCTCTTCTGTCCTTCTATATATTCTTATTTGTATTTTATTTTAATTTATTTTTTTTGTAATTACGTGATGCTTTTCTATGGATAATATATATATATATATATATATATGAGAAAAACTACTCTTATGCAACATAAGAGTAATTTTATCTCCAATAAACTCATTCAAAACCGTGACACTTTTTTTTTCATTTTTTCCCTTTTTTTGTAAATGGCGGGCCCCACCACATGTGTGTCTACAACATGAGAGATAATCTCTCATGCAACATGAGATTAGATGAACTCTATATATATATATTCGCAATCTTTTCATATCATTTTTTGAATTCATCTACCACCGACCCCAATTAATTTGGGATAAAGATGTTGATGTTGATGTTTATTGCAATTATTTTGGGAAACCAACTAATTCTCGTATAGTTTATACTAAAGGAAGGGGATCCAGAAGTAATTTGCAAAAGATTTTGGATAGCTTCCCTCTGCCGTAGTTGAGTAGCTCCATTGTTTATTGATTGTTGCCGCATATTGTTCCTGAGATTTCTTTGTCCTCCTCTCATAAGCATTGGTGTTGGATTCTTCCTAAGTTTTTCATTCCTGCTAAATCCTATTGATATCAGAAAAGGGTTATGGATGGATGCCCAATTCATTTTTCACCTCATATTCACAGATATGTTGATTGCACTATTTTCTTCTTTCGATTTTCATTTAAATGATGACAAACAAAATATTCTTCCAAAACTGTAGGTCTTTAATGAATTTAATGCACGAAAGCCAGATGAATTCAACATATTCAAGGGAGTCACAAGAAACTACCTCTTTATGGGGATAGTGGGAATAACTGTTGTGCTTCAGGTCAGTCTTGTTTGAAGTCTTCTCTGATTGTTTGGCTTTATTGATGAAATATTCGTAGGGCCACCATAAACTTTGTTACTGTTTTTTCAGATTGTCATCATTGAATTTCTTGGAAAATTCACTAAATCAGTAAAGCTTAATTGGAAGCAGTGGCTCATTTCCGTCATTATAGGATTTATAAGGTCAGTTGATAGTCTTACGTACTTGAATGCAGGAAAACTTGGAAGGGCCTTGATTGTTATATTATATTGCATGTATAACTCGAAAGATATTAATGCATTTATGCTATTGGAGACTAGAGGGCTTGCCTTATGCACACAGACTAACTGTATTTCTTCCCTTGTCTTTCACCATACTCTTTTAGCTGGCCTCTTGCCGTGGTTGGAAAACTCGTACCAGTGCCAGCCACTCCCATCGGTAACTTTTTCGCTACTCCCATCAATAACTTTGTCCGAAGATTTCATGGTGGAAGAACTCAAAAGAAGGAATCTGAGGCATCTTGATGGAGTCATGTATAGAAGTCTTGCTGATTCACTATCTCCCTGCTTTATTTTGACAGGATGACCAACATTCTTTTGGTAACGGAAAATAGTGCACAGGTTGCACAGAGCCTTTTCTTTTTTTACAGATCTGGAAACAAAGTTGGATCTTTTTTATACCTAGGTTCTAACAAGGGTGTGTACGGAATTTCAGCTAGTCTTTTATTTTTTTTTATTTTTATTTTGTCAGTTTGACCAACCCTTGTTTATATTTTTACCTACACTTTTTTAGTATCTAGTACTCTTCAACACTGATAGAATCTCAATTAATATTTCACTTTCCTTTTGAAATTTTAATCTAACTGTATTGAAAAATGATATGCACGGTAAGTATGAAAAAAAATGTAGGTAGAATAACTTATTCCATTTTTATATATTTGAAAAGTTGCAGTGATATGGATGATAATTCCTATTCATTATTTCAATTTAGCTGCTTTCCTATTTATATGTAATTTGGAATTTGATGAGGCACAACGCCCTTCAAAAGAAATATTTCTGCACGACATTGTGTTGTAATCTAGTAGATTACTCCTTGAGAGCTATCCTCAATCCATAAACTATCTACACTCTACTTCTTGAATCATACAAAGGAAAGAAAAGAAAACGTTTTCTACCTCCAAGGGATTAATTTTTACGGTACACTAATTCTTGGGTACCTGAGGCGGAATTAGGGGTGCTCCCCACAAAATTTGAAGGAAAAAATATTATATATATAAAAAAAGTGCTTAATTGGTTGTTATTCTAATGAGATCATGTGCAAAACCTATTGCAGAGATTTAAAACATTTTTAATTAAAAGAGTGTGGGGCTAGAAATAGAATGTTGCTAAATTGTTATATATTGTCACAAGTTATTTGTAGTTCCAGTTTAAGGGATGAGCTATGGTAAAGCATTATTTATTAGGGATTGTGGTGTTAGTGGGTGCACAGGGAAGCTAATAAAGAATTGGTTCATCCAACTCTCACTTTTCATTTTGATTCTTCTTCTGTATCTTTCACTTTTCAATCAAACAAAATATATTGAACGGAGGCAATATAATAAAAGTTGAAGTTTTTTTTCTTTTCTTGCTTAGATTCTTCCTGCTTTCGCCACTGTTGGGTACGTTAAGTTTCCAAGTCCTAACATCAAGGTGTGGCATTCTCAAAAATAGTCCTGCAACCTAGGGAGGGAGCTATGCGATTTATGAGAATGTAGAATTCTTATCCCCCGGTTCCTATGACCAGAATTTAAACTGGAGCAGCAAAACTTGGTATTCACGACAACATATTTGAATACGGGGAAACAACCACAATGGTAGCATTTCCAGACAACTACCGTAAAGCCACTACTATGACAAGTCAGGCAAGGTCAGGTGAGCGTTTACAACTTTAATTATCTTGATTTTGCAAAATCAATTTTGGTTAATAGTAAATTTGAAATGAAGTGTATATAAATACAGCGAGATAATTATCATAAATTTCCATCAACTCATCAAATCCCATTCATCAACTTACAAGATATATATCAAACTATCATAAAAAATGGCAAAAGAGAACAAAACATGCACTTACAAGATATATATAAACTTCCCATAGGTGATATTTATTCAAAATAACAAAAACCTCTCTAGCGTACTATTTACATGACATGCATCAATTTCAAATTCAGTCATACACCCAGTGCAAGTATTGAATTCTGTTCTTATTGGTTGCTCCAGTAATTAATTATCCGTAATAAACAATGAAATTTATTTTGTCAGGTTTTCATAAAGCAGACAATGAAAATGGTGCATGGCCTGCTCAACTGTAGGAGCATATCTGCCCACACAATATGCTGGGGACTGGAGGCCCTTCTGGATACCTTCACACAACACAATATCTTCTATCTGCTCATGAACATCCAAATGTATTACTCTAGGTATATTGCAACTTGAGGAAAATTTCTAATCAAATCTGCAAAACTAACGCTTGTACCTGCACTTTCTCACTTTCTTGTAAACTTTTCTCTATGAAATCTTTGTCATCCTGCTCAGTCAAAGAGAAGGCAGCAGGAGTTAATATTTTAAATTGAATTCCATTTTCTGATAAGTATTTGTTTATTCTCTAACCTCAGTGATTCATGGAGTGAAAACTCAGAAAATTCAAAAAAAGAAAAGGCTCAATCCTTTGAGGAACTATGGAACCATTAAAATGAGTGTAAATCCGGGTTTGATTTCTGAAAAATCAAAATATCAATGAAAGTGTTGCTTTGCTCAATGCGTCCATCAAAAAGCAAGAAAGTAAGCGATTTTTGTTTTTTTATGGAGTCATTCAAAATACGAAAGCGAGGCTCTGAACTACTCATTTCTTAACATTCCATACACTGGTCATCAATCATCAACCCTGCCTCTAAAGGCTATATTGTGTGGTTCCTAAGTTTCTTCCAAATTTAATCCCAGTTGGTACAAAACTATCAGCATATGGTTCTTTATAATATACTGAAAGACTAATATTGATGCCAAATGAAGTAGAGTCTGATTACTTTCACATCGCCCAAAAAAAGGTTTCTGTTGGAAATAAAAAATGTCAGCAAACAAAATTTTGAGCTTATAGTCCAAAAGTGAACCTATACAGGAAAACAAAACATATCTTATTATTATCCTTAATGTACTGGACTAATAGTGTTCAAACCCATGCTTAACACCAGGGTACATTTTAAAGATTCTGAATCATGGGCTTGAATCGTGGATATAATATTAGGCATATGCTTATATAACTACAAATTACCCGTAGAGAGTGTTCAAGATAGTAGTCAAATACTACTTGACATTTGTTGGGTCCTAGTGGAAGTACAAGATTGGTGTCCATCCAAGGTCCATACCTATCATGCCAGCAGCAAGCACCAGACGTTATGAAAGCATGCTAATTTGCAAAACAAATACGTGGTAGATACCAAATTCTTTTTTTTTTTTTGGATACGTTCAGAATACTGAGGTTTGAACCTACCAAATTCTTTTTTAACATCAATAAGAAAATGACTGAAGAACATGATCAACTAATTGGCCAAATAACAAAGCAAGCACCTGTTAATCATGAAGTTTGGGTAAATGAAAGCATATATAGCTTTTCTTCCAAGCCGATCATAATTCTCTTTGCTTTTCCCTGAGCTGCCTTCACAACTTTGGATGCTAACCCTTTCAAACATCTGTCTCATTCATAACAATCCTTTAGTACATAAGCAATCCCTGGTAACAAAGAACATTTGAAAATCCAGTTCCAAATGTATTCTATTATTTAAACTTAGGGAAATAGTAGTTTCATGTTGTAGGAGACTACTATCTTATGCTATAGACACTTCGATAATTGAGCTATCATTTTTTTCTTTAGTGGTGGGCCCCACCACTTTGTGTCTTAACATAAGATATGTTCTCTCCTACAACATGAGAGTGGACAAACCCTTAAACTTATTGTAGCAAATTAATTATAGCTAACAGGATGATCTGTGAAGAGAGAGAGAGAGAATTTTATTTTTTTCCAGCTGGAGCAGGAAAGGTTGAAAGATTACATGTAACAAAGGTTAAAAACAACAAAACGAAAAAGGTCTACACAACTCAAATTATCATGCTACTAGTACAGTAGCATGTAAAATGAAAAGATTTTATAAAACAAAAGGTAGTAGAGAAGCATACTGTGATAGAATAGGAATCAAGCTTAAGACTAGATGCTAGGCCTTTATGTGCATATGGAACGTGATAGCCACCATCTAAGTAGTTATCACAGAATACCTGCAAAAAGAAGACCCCAAAATTACCAACCTCCCAACAATCCATTAATGATACATAAGAAAATAATAACAAATAAATAACATTGTGTATAATAACATTTTCTTATAGTAGGGCTTACCAATAGAAGGGAGGGAAAAGTTTCACAAATTTGGAAAAAATTTCCTCCACATAATCATAAAGAAAATGGAATTGTACCCAAGTGCCAAAGTAATAAACAAAACCTCTAGGAAAAATATAAATTTAAGGTAAGCCAAGAGGTTACACCTTCCAATTACATTCAATGGTGTATTCACGTTTACAAACATAACTTAGTGAAGAATCAACTCCATTGGTATGCAGAATTTCTGAACAGCTACCAAGCCATTCCTTTGCCACATTATGACTATCAAGTTCCTTTTGAGAAAGACTCTCTTTTTCCAAATTGAGAAGAACAAAAGGCCCCCAGGTAGCTACTTTGATTGGTATAAGGCCAAAATCCTATCCTTCAAGGTCAGAGTCAGAGAAATCAGCCAACCTTGTTCCTCTGTGAGGAATATATTGCATAAGTAACTTATCGTAGAACAGGACTGCATACATTTACATTGAAATCCCGTATTCCTGATATTCTAGTCGCCTTAAGAAGTGTTCCATTTAATCCATATGTCCACCCCTGCAGAAATCATTGTCTTTCAATATCTAAGTTTCTAAAACAAAAACAAAAAAAAGGAAGTAATTATAGAAACCTAAAATGAGAAAGGATCATGTCATGATAACAACCATTACCCATGGAGCAAAGCTTGACAATTGTGTCTTCAACCTCACAAGGATCAGAACATAAAAAAGGAGGGAATCTATAGAAAAGAGAATCGAAATAATGCTCATATGCACATTTACCACGGTAGGCAAACTCACATGATAAGGGCAGACAAAGCAGGACTTCTGTCCACTTCCAGAAGCAAGAAGAGAGGCATGATGACGACAGACATTGTGAAAGGCCCGGACCTTCCCACTGTCATCTCGACACACCACAAATTCCACATCTCCTATTCTGCAATATTTAATCCTCCAGTTGGTTCACAGAAACTTGGAAGAAAAGAAAAAAAGAAAATGCATAGAGTGCACAACTTAATAAGTCACTCCTAAATATCCTTTTTCCCTTTCAACCAAATGGAGCTGCAATTAGACAACTTTGTTGACAACATATGTAATTATGACAAATTAAAAAATGAACTGGAATCGAAGTATTTCTATTGAAGACAAAATAGGTGGGTTATAAAAAAAAATATTAAAAAACAAAAAATCCACCTTCCAGTGAAAAAGTCATGGGGATCCTTTATCTGCTCTGTGGATCCTGGTAAGCAAAACTGAGTGAAAATTTAGACTTTTCAGCTGACAAAAAATCCCATAAGGTAAATTCTAGGAGACATAATTCAAAGGGCGTAAATTATAATAGTTAATCTATCACAGTGAGGACTGAGGACATTAGAAATAGGAAGGATCGCATGTGGAAGCTGAGACATAAAATACAAGGGGGGAAAGTGAAACTTTTGACTCTAAATATATATATATATATATATATATATATATATATATATATATATATATAATCAGATTCATATTATCAGCCATCATCTTTCTTTCCTGAAAAGGTATTTCACCCTACAAAACACATCATAAAAACAAATAAAATAATCATTTTTTTTCTCTACCAGTGAAACTAATCATTAAGATTGGAATTCTACATCTTCAATTTCAATCTGTTTTCCTTTGTATTCTCAGAAGGAACAAGAAAACAAAATAAAAAGTACCCAAAGAAAGAAAGAAAGAAAGAAAGAAAGAAAGAAAAGAACAAAAAAGAAGGAAAAAGTTTGAAACTTAAATTAGTATAACACTGACCCACAGCTTGCCAGCCTCTGTAGAAGATGCGATCGAGTTCGAGGTGGAAGAAAGAGGGGTCAGTGTACCATGATGTTGGCGGTGTAACTGCTTCCTCTATGGGAATCTTGGGATTGAATTGATGGACAAGTCTCTGAGATACGAGGAGGTCTGAATTGCGAAGAGAGCAACAAGCGACTGTTAAATGTTTGTTCGGAAAATTAAGGTTTTGGGGTTGTCCCTGTCGCGAGTTAGGGATAAAGGGTGCCAATTGCATTGTCATCGCCATTTGCATAAGCATTACCGTTGGCGTGTCTTCCTTCCAATGAATACTCTGTTTCTGCTGTTTTACTCATATGTTATCAGTTATGTGACATGCACCAATCATTTTACTGATTACTCACTTTTTAATTTTTCATTTAAATTCATTTATGTTTCTATTATGTTTTTCTTATGGATTAATATTTCTCAGAAATTATTTTATTTTCTATACACATAGTACATTGAGCTAAGTGGAGAGAAGAAAAATAAAATATAAATTCATATATTTTTATATGTATAAAGGTATTAAAATTATATTTTAATACCTTTTTTTATATGAAATTTTTTATAAATAACTCGAATACTTATAATTTATAACGTAAATATTATCTCCAGACCATTATTAAAAAAAATGGACTCGGAACTTTGTAAGGTATAAACCACTTTTGATTAACCAAGTAGCAAACTTGATACGAATTTTTTTAGAAGCTTATCCAAATGGAGATTGAAGCTTTGTTTGTGTAGATCATCAAAGTATCCCCCTTTTTTTTTGTCGGGTACAGCTGTCACAATCCACATGTGAAATGAGAATCAATAACCATATGACATTATTAGAACGTATACTTGTAAAATCAATCTACTTTATTTGCATGAACATAACATCTTAAGTTCACATCCATCAATTTACAATTTTGGCAGACAACTTGCTTATGCTAATCCTTTCTGGGTATCTAGAATATACTAATGCTTACAAATTTTGATTTGAGATTTGTTGTAGGATTTATTTATTATTCAGCTTTAAAGGAGGTCCTGAATAAATTGTGTTCTGAAAGATAATTTTTTTTATACCAATTCTAATTTTTTTATACAAATTTACTTACACAAAAATCTTGATAAAGAAAAGCAATTGAAGGTATTGGGTCATTGAATAGTTGTATATGCATTAAATTTGTCTTTCGGAGCAAGAGAGTTGAACGGAGGAAGAATTTCAGTATGATTCTCGTCAATGTCATTTTGGAGAGGAGCATAAAAATCTTAATTTTTATCCTGCTCAGCATTTGGAATTAGTTTCATAGCCAATACACAAAGTAAATGGAATTTTAAAGATTGAATTATACTTTCCCTTAATTATTAGAAAAATCGCAAGCATGAAGAAGATTATGGACTCATTTGCATGTCAGGAATGTTTGGAACTCTTCAGTTGCAGTCAGAGGTACAAGAAGTAGTTGAATCTATGGTTCAAAAACTACCAACATGGAAACTTAGATCGCCATTATAGTGGGATCTGAGTTTCCAGCACTGGAGATAGCAGGAGATGTCTAATATGAGATTGGTTAGCCAATATTGGATTTGTGTTTTCTCTCAAGTATCTATGTGGAAAGAATTTCTTTGTTTGGTTGGCAGAATCTAAAAATTATGTCATGCTTCTCCTTTCCCCATCCTTCCACAATCATGTGCAAAATGATAGAGAAATCATTATAGCATTTGACCAATGTAAGTGTGGTATTTCTAGAAAAGGATGGGCAACCCAAAAAAGATGAAGGAGCACATTACCGTATTACCCTTGCTGTTGTACACATACATCTCTGAAACTTCGAAAGAACATGATTACAATTATGGGAAAAATCGAAATAAAGTTAAACGAATATTGTCAATAAATTGCAGCCTAAGAAACACAAAAGGCTATGCATTGGAAAGAAAAAAAGAAGAAAGAAAAAAACAACACGAGCATGTTTATCATTTTTTGCGTTTCTCTTTATTTTACAATTTTTTTTATTTTTTCAAAAATTTAAAAAACAAGGATATTTTCGTAATTGTCACTTATTTCTCTATCTATATTTTACCTCAAACCAAACATAGACTTTATAAATCTTACCTAATTTACCCAGTAAATTTTTTTCCAACCAAACATCTTTTTTTACATTTTCCTACCAAACTCACTTTCCAATCATTTCCCTATCAATTACATTTCCCTAGTATTCAAAAAATTTCTCCTCAACTAAACGCCCCCTGAAAAGAAATGGATAACTAGGTATTGTAATAGACGACTACATAGCCAATGTGTGGATGCGTGGATAGTGAAAACTAAATGATAGAAGGTTCAAAATTGTGTGTACGTGTAAGATTTACCTTTTATTCATAGAGTTTATAATAGAATTTGGGACCATTGGTGAATTTTCGGGATCCAATATGTGATCTGCTGTTGTCAAACTAGGATTAGTATCTTTTAGGAATCTTTCATTTATTTTAGAGATGACAAAACAAGCCAATCAAGCCCGCCTTCAACCCGCCAAAAACAGGGCAAGATGAGCTGACTCGCCTCTGAGTTGAAAATATCAATCAATCCTATTTTGAGGTGGGTTGACAGGTCAACCCATTTAAAATTAAAATATTAAAAAAATCTAAATATATTAATGTTAATCTTTTATTTATAATCTCTAACATCTAAATACTTCTCAAGTGTGAAAAAAGAATCAAGCAATAAATTAAAGAAAAAAATGATTTAAACTAATAATTTCATTTACCATAAACTATACAAATAATATCTTAAGATTAATTAATAATATCAATGTCATTATATAACAAAATAATAACATCAAATATGTAAATATTTGCAAAGGAATACATTATTACATCCTGTAACTAGAATTTATTCACTCACTCACGTAAATAGTGACTTCACTTGCTCACATTTAGATTCCCCAAATTTATTCACCTCCTCCTTTAGAGCTAAATATCATCATAATTTATGCTGTAATGAAAGTTAGACCTTGTATTCTACTTTTACATGGAAAAAAATATGGTTAAGCGGAAAATATGATGAATTTTGTATGTTATCTCCATGGATTAAAACATTTTTTGAATGGAAAGATCATGATTATAGACATCAAGATATATAAGAGTCGGTGCCAAACTACAAATGGAATATGCTGCAAATGAAATTGACAAAACACCAAACTAGAGTCGGGTGTCATGATCGATTAAAAAAAAAGCTACAAAATATAAAAAATTAATATAAGATTTTTTGACAAAATTTAATTCATTTTCCGTCGAAAAATTTCAGCGGAATTATTTTTCCATCGAAAAATTTAGACAGAATCTCTAATTCCATCGAAAAAATTATTACCCACGAAGAGATATTCAACAACTTCATTTTCGTCGATAATTTCATCGAAAACTTCATTTTCAATGGAATTTTTTCGTCAAAAAAATAACATTTTTTAGTAGTGGATCAATTAAAGAAAATTACAAATATAGAAACTTATTTAAAAGTTCTCAAATTGCCTAGATAGAAAAACCTATTCAATAATGGGAAAAAAATATTTTGTGTCATTTTAGATCTTAATCGTTCATTTCCATCAATCAACGATTATAATTTATTACGAATTACTAATTAATTAATAAATTTGACCAAATAAATAATAATCGTTGATTGATGGAAATCAATAGTTAGAATATAAAATGACACAAAGTTGTATCTTTAAAAAAAACAAACATTTTTTCCTCCAATAATTTGATAATACTTTTATGATTATATTGTTTTTAATTTAACCATTTGTAAAATTGCGTATCTTGAACGCTTTCTTCTAGGCTTCTCTTTCGTCAAAGGAAATTCTGCTTCTGCCTCGTATTTTACATATATTTTTTTTATTATTTTGTGCAAAACCTTTTGTCACGATACCCATTTGTCCATCATCTTTTTCCCGTTTTTGTTTCAACATTTTTATTATGCCTTATCTGAATTTGATGCCTATTGGGTGGTTGGAGTGCTGCACTTTGAGACGTTGTAGATTTTTAGTCGTTGAATTATAAATGGGCATTTCGTTTTAATTAAGCTATTTCTAAAAAAAAATTAATTTAATATATAAGACGAATCAATTCCAATGATTTGCAAGCTGGAGCTGTGTGGTTGATCAAGAGAGAGAAAATGCACAATTTGTGATTTTATTATAAATGAAGTGGATATTCTTTTAAAAGACACACCAACTTACACTACAACAAACTGTGCAAATGAAGGCGGTTGTTTTGTCTATCAGAGGCGGTCAAAACCGCCTGCATTTAACTCATTTGGCGGTTGACAATTCGCCTTTGTTACCACGGTCGAGACGTCATTCTCAGGCGGTTTAGAAAAACCGCTGGAACAGCTGCCACAGTATAACAAGGGCGGTTCTTTCGTCGGGTAAGGTCGTCGTAGGATATTCCAAAAATGATGAAATTCTCAGCTGCAGGCGGTAAGACTAACCGCCAAAGATGTCAATATTTCGACGCTTATGAGGGCGGTTTATGTAGTCGGCAAAAAATTATGGCGTTTAGGCTAACCGCCTGCTATTTCCATACAGCAACGTTCAACGTGACTTGTCACTCGGTCAGCATAGTTTACGGAAAAATGTGAAATAATTTCTGGCGGTGGGTGAACCGCCTCGTGTTGGAGTTCGCGGATGGTCTTTATAACCGCCAATATTAAACTTTTTAATATTTTTAAAAAAGCTTAAAATTAATTTGAATTATTATTTTGTTTTAATAAAAAATCCCCTATTATTTTGATCAGAGGTTTATAAACATTGATGCATTAGAATAGTAAAGAAAAAAGTAAACAATTTTTTGTTAGGTAAGGAGGGCATAACCCCAAAAACATTAGAAACATTCTCCAATCTTTAAATTCCGAAACATATTTACCAAAGGTTAATATTCAAAACCAAAATAGATAACCTGTCAAAAAAGTATAGTATTATTTTAATCAAGGCTTTATAAACATTCATGCATGGATCGAGGATATTTATGCAAAAAAGTAAACATCATTCATTCTTTAAGTTTGGAAACAGTGACATACATATTGACCAAAGCTTAATTAACATACAAAAGCAAAACAGACCAAGCTGGTTGCATGTAGAACGTACCAAGGTCATCAATTACATCAAAAAAAAAAGATCCAGGTACTGCCTAACTTGAAAAACATTGGAATTCAACCAACAATGTTAAACTCCAAAACGACCAAATTCCATGTACAACCACTGAAATATCCAAAATACAGTGGTTCAATGAACACCTA